GTTTCCTGCTCTGAGGAAAGTATCTCAGCAGCAAAGTGCTGGGTGTTCAGAACTTGCTGTTGCTGGATTGACAGTACTGTAAATATTCCTCCAGTTGCTGGCTCAGAAGAGTGTTTTTGTTCAGGCTGTGTAATTAGTACCCATATTCAAATATCTGCATATGTGCAATTTAATTTATTTTTAGCTTGAGCTTAAAAAATGTTTTTGAATCTGGCCTGAAGGCTTATATAAAACTTAAGCTAATTGAGTGGATAAACAAGCTGGATAGATACAATTTAGTATGGTTAGTCAGTAATACACCAGAGTTGTATTTTATGACTTGATTGTTTTCTGTCTTTAAAGCAAAGAGGTATTTTTATTTATGTCACTTAGAGTAAAAGTAAGTTACCATTCTGTCAAACTGAGTTCACTGAGTTTCATAATGGAGTTATAAAAATTGAAGGTGTTTAAAATGTGCATGTACTTCTTTTAGTGTCTCGGAAACCCTGATATCCTTAGTTAATATTATGTCCTAGGTATATCTGATTCATCAAGTACAGGACCGGTACTTGATCTGTCTCTGTTTACATCAGTGTAGCCCCACAAAATTAAAACAATATAATGAAAATCTGTGCTATTTATACCTTATGTCCCAGCTTATGAACATTCCCATTGATTTGAATAGCAAATTTCATCTTCCCTTTCAAAAACATTCTTCTATATATGTTTAGAGATTGTGTACCTTATGCAGCTTTAGTGTGAAATAGCTTTTAGTAAAGGAATTGCTTTAGGTATGCCACAGCATGTTGTGGTTTTGTAGGGTACTCCATCCTGTAGTTGTTTACTTGTTCAGGCTTTCATGTTAAATTTTCCATCAGTTTTTATCAAATGCTGATTATTCACAGTAGTCAGTATGGTGAATGTTTGTGTTTATATAGTTGCTCATATTTTTCTATGTGAGTTACTATTCTTGTCTATTTTAGCATTTTGATATCTCCAGGGAAGTTATAAAAATAAGGTCTTAATTAGTTTGTAAGCCTTCAGTTCCATTAGTAAATATTTTAAAGTTATAAAAAGGATGACTTGTTGCAGATTTTATTTTTTAAAGAAAAGGTTTTGTTCAATTATATAGTCTTTTTTATAAGTTCTTTTAAAAATATTACAATATACGTTGTGTAACGTAGTACGCTATCACCAGTCTAGTTACTAAGAATTGATCAAAACCAAGGAAATCGTACCCTAAAAAACTGGTCACTTTCAATCTAACTGAGGACTTGATGACTGGGTCAACTTGTGCTTATTGTATTAGAGAATATTAGTTCCTTTGCTGGTGTGAAAGGCCAAAGGTTTCGTGCTTCAAGAAGTTAATTTTTTAATGCATTTAACTCTTTGCCATCAGCAAAGCAAATGAATTTTTTAGTTTATTTTCTCCTGATGGTTCTTCAGATGCCCCTGCTTTCATTTTCTATGGCTGGTAATTTTTATTCCTTCAGTATTCACTATAAAGTACTCAGGGCAGGATTATTCATGTTTCTATTGAACTGCAAGGGTTAGAAACCACCTTTGATTTTTAACAGTGCCTGAGTTTCTTATTTATCTATGGTCAACCAGAGTTGGGACTTTAAGAAAAAACTACAAATACTGTAAAATTCAGAGCTTAGCAGCTGGACTTTTACATTTAAACTAAAGATCTTAACAGCATTTTCTCATGGTCTGGAAACGGCCTGCTGGGAACGGGTAACAAAGAGCAAATCCATGCATACCCTAGTGGTATTTTACCATGCTAACCAGGGCAGTCTCACAGTCAGTTTAGAGCAAAATAACTTTCCTGAAATGACTATCCATTGCACAATTTGGGGATTTCACAGATTTTACAGTATTTTACATATTTACCTAGATGTTTGTAGCACTTGCTTCCTATGTATCTTTTCATGTTTTTGGCATTAGCACAAGACTTCAGTAAGTCTTAATTTTGCTGTCTTCATTAATACTGCAAACTACTCAATATGTACTTTGATATTTCCATTTGAAACCTAATGAAAACATTTTTCTATATTTGATACTAAACAGCGGAGTTAATCGTATGCCTATAAAGTGTCAATGCTTTGCTGACACTTAAAACACTATGACATTTTATTTTAGGCACGGTGGCAAAAGTTCTAGAAAAGAGGATATTTTAGGTAGGTATATCTAGAGATTTAGTATAGAGAGAGATTAGTGTAGCTAGAGTTTCTTGGCTTCTTCGTCCACCTTTCCTGGAGAAAACGTACTGTTTGAAAGAGGAGTTTGGAATCTGGTTTGCCATAAATACTAATTATATTCTTTGTGTGGGTTCTTGCTTTCAGAGTTGCGATAACTGTTGCTTTGTGCTCAGTGGGCCAGCTCACAGCAGTTATTGTAGAGGGTAATGAATGATGTTTATTTGTGCTGCACGGTTGACCACATCTGGGGGTGAGAACATGCTGGCAGCTATAATTGGCCTGGCAAATGATCAGGCTGCTACAGAACAGGATCTTGTGTTAGGCAGAAAAATAAAATCGCAAGAAATTGTCATCCCTTGCTCCTTACTGATGGTTTCTAGTGGAGGTGACGAACATGAGCTGTGGATGTGGAGTTGAGATCTACTCTGTCGTGTCCATTTCTTTCAAGGAATGCCTCAAATCAGTTTGCAGCTACTAACTCCTTGTTGCTTAATCTCATCTACTGCAGTCTGTGTTTCATAGAATCACAGAATGGTTTGGGTTTGAAGGCACCTGAAAGGTCACCCAGTCCAACCCCCCCCCCGCCATGGGCAGAGACACCTCCCACCAGACCAGGTTGCTCAAAGCCCTGTCCAACCTGGCCCTGAACACTTCCAGGGAGGGGGCATCCACAACTTCCCTGGGCAACCTGTGCCAGTATCTCACCACCCTCATAGTGAAGAATTTCTTCCTCATGTCTAATCTAAATCTACCCCCTTTCAGTTTAAAGCCATTACCCCTTGTCCTATCACTACATGCCCTTGTAAAAATTCCCTCCTCAGCTTTCCTGTAGGCCACCTTCAGGAATAGGAAGGCCACAATTAGGGTCTCCCTGCAGCCTTCTCCAGGCTGAACAGCTCCAACTCCCTTAGCCTGTCTTCATAGGAGAGGTGCTTCAGCCCCCAATCATCTTCATGGCCCTCTGGACCATGTCATTTGCTCTCCTTTACACAAGTGTGTAAGAGTTGCGTACTTGACTTTTGAACTGATCATTTTATTAAACACTAAGGACGAATAGCCCTGCCTGGGAGTCTGTGTCGTGTTGCTTGGCACTGAGCAGTTTCCTTGAAGTGGTGCTGATGCTGCTCCTAGTGAAGTTCTCAGACCTTTAGATTTCTTTAAGCTTGAAGGAACTAGAATCATGGAAAATTAGGAAATTGGAATAATTCTGTAATGAGGGGACAGCAAAGATCACAATTTGTATTTTTATGTCTTACTACTCTGTGGATTAGCTCTCTCTGACAGTGACAGAGCCTTGCAGGTACTCCACTTCCCTGGCAGACTGCTTTGTGCTGGTGCTGGAACCAGGTGGTTGCCTTCGTTCCAAGCTTGGTTGCTCTTTTGGGAAGAGTAGGAAAGGCTGCTTATTCCTTACAAACCCAGGAGTACCTTGAATGGGCCAAAGCAAAAGGAATAGGGGGGAAATAGCACCTTTTGGATTGACGGCAAAGGATGTGATTGGCAGCCTGCCAATGAGATATGCTTCCCTCCTGTTCCCATGGCCACTCAGTGTTGATATTAGCAAGAAGGAATAATGTTTGTGTGTCCCTCTAAATAATTTTGGTGAGGTTTTAAAATAGAGAGGGCCGGAATATTATTTGAAAATCTATGAGCATTTAAAACGACTGGCCCAGCAGTTCCAGATAACATGGCAAATTTGTTGTATTAACGAGCCATGTGATGGACAACACCTTCTGAGGGCTTTTGGTCCCTTTTGGTTTTGAAAACTGGTTTGCAACATCTGATGCCTGCTAAGCATCAAGGTTGTGCCATTGATTTCTAAGCTAGGTAAAGGTATGTTCCTAGCTCCCTCTCTTGTGTACCTGTACATAAAATCTGTCAGGACTAAATAGATCCTATCACGAACATGCGATACTATAATTATGTTTTTCATTTGTACAAACATAACTTTAACTTTTTCCTTTTCTTTCTAAAACAACTTTAATATTTATTTATATTCTGAAGAGTGTGTGGGTATTGTTTATTTGCCTTTTGAATGCATGTTAAAAAATAGGCAAACCAAAGGACAGTTGTACTCATATTTTCCTGGATGAACTAAGAAAATGTAAATTAAATAAGTCTTTAGCTTTTTTGTCTGCTCTGAGGTCTTTGTAATGTTACTGAGCAGACCAGATGCCTTGCAAGCTTATTGTAAACAGTATGTAGAAAAAGAAATGCCTTGTTTTATTATACAGTTGATCCTCCAAAACAGGGAAAAAAAAATCATGCTTATGTAATCAGGAATTTGATGCTGTAAAGAGAGAAGGAAAAATGTGGTAGCTTAAAGCTTGCTATGGGATTACAGTTGTTTTTAGCACTTGATGGTTAAGCGTCTTTTGCTGCTGTGTCTCAGAACTCCCATAACTGATAATTTAACTGCTAATTCAATTGTTTGGTGATTGATTGCCATGAACAATTCCTTGTAGAGCACTACAAATTTTGTCTGTTTTTCTCTATTTGCTGTGGTGGTTTTTACTTCCTCTGTTACTTTGTGTGTTGGCATGCAGTGATGTATGTAATAAATATATACCAAAATGATGTATACATAGAAAATGGTAAACAAGACATGCTTGCTAGAAAACATTTTGAAGCATACTCTTAAGTGGACAAGGCTGTGCTGATCCTCTGTTTTGCTGCTGAACTTTGATCATTATTTACCTTTTGCCATAAGGGAAAAATGTATAATGAACAGATTTTTATGAGATTATTCTTCTGTCTAGCAGCACTATCCTGTTTGTAACTATGATCTTTTTTCCCCCTCCTCTCTCGCATCTGTAACAGCTAGCCGATGGCGGAACCTCTTCTCTACGCCTGTTTCCTTGGCTTTTCCCTATAGCCCTGTTGCGAGACTCACCCCATATACCAATGGCTTTAACAGTCCCAGCTTCTCTAAAACCTCCAGTAAAGCAATACTAACACCTGAACGGACAGGTAATGCTTATCTTTTTATCGATTTACGGTGCTTACAAAATTGCTTAATTTAACCTAATCTTACTACCATTTAACAGCAGTACACTGTTAGGATGATTGTATATAGACTATCATCTCAGAGGGAGATTTTTTTTTTAAATTATCTAAAATTTGGCAATTAACTACCAGTGTAGGTTGTCTTCTGTGTTACACAGGAAAGTGATGCTAGTAAACAAAGCCTATTTCTCAATAATCATTTAGCTCAGAGTATAGCTGTGGCAGCGCCAGCTTGAACAGTCCCCAGCTTTGTCTGCCCTCTGCTGCTCATTTCTGCCCCGCTGTACCCCCTTCCTTATGTCTACAGAAACATTTCTGCAGCTGTGTGATGGAGTTGCAGGGAGAATTTACCTATACTAAAAACAGCCAGCAGAATCATGGCTGCTTTCAAGCTAGTGTTGTTGCTGCTATCCAAGATTTATTCTGTTTGCCACTGATTTTCAGGGGACATGGGAATTTGGGGGAAAAGACGAACTTTATGCCAGCTGTAAATTGCAAAGAGCTGCATTTTCCTTCTTCACTACAGGTGTCAGGAGTTAATTTATATCTGTGACTTCTCTTAAACTGCAGTGGCAGTGGGGAGAATAATCTTCTGGGGAAGAGGTGTTCGCATTTTATTGCTGGCAGGAGGAGGTGTGGTCTAAGGAAATTGGCATCAGGGCCGTCTTGACCTGTGCTCAATTTTCTTTCCAGCCTGCGAAATCAGTGCAGAATGCCCTGTTAGGGATATGTGGGTGAGATACAGCTCCAGACTGAATGCCTGGTTGTTTTACTATCATCCAGGGAAAAGGCAGAATCCAGAGCCCTCTCCTAAAGGTAGCTGTGTGAAGGAGGCAGTGCTTTCTCTGTTGCAGAATGTTCAGTCTTAACTGTTATAATAATTGATTTATCTGGTGATTATAAACAATTAAAAAACCAGTAACATTTAGATAAATGGCTCTGTTGAGGAATCTGAGTACTGAGCAGAAGTTGGTGACACATATGCACTTGCTTTTCAGAACAGAGCAGGGAGAACCAGAGTCCCATGAGAAGGATTCAAATGCAGATGTGTTTAGACTACACTAACTAATGTGAGCTGTATCGGAACTGTGTTGGGTAAATTATTCATGGTCTGGGCTATGTGATGCTATTTTGGGAACAAGCAGAGGAATTCGTGATCCATTACTACACTTACTACTTCTCAGACTATCAAAGCCCTTTGCTAATTGTTAGTGGATTGCACTACACTTCTGAAATTTTTATGTGTTATGCAGAAAATGTTTTAAGCTACTGTAACATAAAGGGCAGATGGTAGTGAATGAAAGATGGTCAGACGTATTCACAGACTAAAGGTTATGTTTTTTTACATAGGTTACATTTCTAGGAGTTCCCCTTTGAGCCCACAGTCATCAATAGACAGTGAACTGAGCACCTCGGAGCTGGAGGATGACTCCATCTCCATGGGTTACAAGCTGCAGGACCTCACCGATGTTCAGATCATGGCTCGTCTGCAGGAGGAGAGTAGGTGGCTTTTTCTCATTGTTCAGAATAGTCTGAGGAAGAGTTCCCATGACAGTAAAAACTGCTCCAGTCTGGTCTTAGTCGAGTGGATCTTCCTTAAACAATGTTACGTCTTGAGTGGGAAAAATAAGTGGGAAAACCCACATATTATTGAATCCAGGTTAATGGTACTGGATCTTTCCAGACTTGACACTTACGGATTGCTGTATCCCAACTGGTAGCTCCGAACCCATTGAGTGTATTTATATTCAGAAATTTTATAATATCTTACCATATTATTTATAATTATTTCAGTTGTGGGGAGTTCCTAAGGCATTCTTATAATGCATACATTTCATGAGAAAGATGAAAATAAGCAACTCTCGTGGATTTTTTAGAAGAAAACACAGATTTTTTTAGAAAAACTGTTTTTCTTCTAATCTGTGTCAGGTATAATGGTTGTATCTCATTCTTGTAGCGACAGGTGGGACTGAATGTTTGAGCACGTGGTGGTTGTTGTCCAGTTAATCCCGTGGAAAGTGGTAGTATTATACGTGCATACAGGCACGCTATCGTCACAGCCACAAATAGAAACTCCCACTCGAGAGGTAGGGGAAAGCATACTAAGAAGTTTTCATTATGATAGCAAGACATCTGTCAAATCTTTTTCTAAATCTAGGAAAGTTGTTATCCATAGCTATTTGTGGAGTTACTCGGCTCCTGGAAATATGATGTACATCTCCTTTTTTCCGGGCTGCTGTGCAGTTGGGAAAAGGGGGATGAACATGGGCTGTGGATGTTTTCCTTCTCACTCTACTTGAAGCAGACATGCTCTTCTGGGGCAGTGCTAGTGGTGGGATGGTTTCCAAAACCTGGTGTTCTGAGAAGGGGATGACAAGATGCGTACCTGTCTAAAACACGACCGTGTTACCACTAAGCCTTGTCTATGAGATGGGCTGCTAGCAGGAGCTAGTTCTGGTTCAAGGAGGTTGGAGAGCCAGACTATCTATGTGGATTATAAGTTTAGGAAATATCAGGATTTTCAGTGCATGAATATAAAAGCAGAATATCAGTAACTTGGAAAACTAATAGACTGAGTGTTAATTCCACTAATTTACAGTGTTAAAAGTTAAATGCTTAATACTCATGTAGTCTTTCCCTTGGCAGGGAGATAGATATCTCCTAAAAGCAGTTCATCTTGTTTTAAGAGAGGAATTTAAGACACCTCACAAGTACTGCGTTTTGGAGATGCTTGCATTCTTTCTTTTTTAATTCTTTATTCTTTATTTAAAAGGAATCTCAAGGGCAGTAATTTGGGCTTAAGTACCTGAAAGATAGACACCAAAAGTTAGATCAGATTAATCCTGTCTCAGATCCTCAGCCTAGTGACACTGTAAATTCAGTTCTTGCTGTAAAATTATGTCTCTTCTCTTGCTTAGTATTTAAGATTGAAGTGCATGTTAAGAGTTAATCACTTGGCAGAAGCTGAATCATCCTCTTTTTGGAATTTACAGGCCTTAGGCAAGATTATGCTTCGACTTCAGCATCTGTGTCAAGGCACAGCTCGAGCGTCTCTCTGCACACGGGAAAGAAAGGGACGTGTGGTGAGCAGGACTACGATCGCTACAGTCTTGAGGACGAGGAAGAGTTTGACCACCTCCCGCCTCCGCAGCCGCGGCTGACTCGCTGCTCCCCCTTCCAGAGAGGGATTTCTCACTCACAGACTTTCTCTAGTATCCGGGACTGCAGGAGGAGTCCTACCTCCCCTCACTTCCCTTCTAATACTTACCAACAGCCCTACTATTCTCCTCAAGCCCAAACTCCGGAGCAGCAACCAAATAGGATTAACGGAGGTGGGTTGCATGCTTTTCTGAGAAGTGATCTTTTGGCTGTGAACCGAGTGAAGTGCGTTTAGTGTATCACAGCTAAATCAGTCCATGAGTTGTTACAAGCAATTTAAGCCTGTGCAAATGGGTGAGGTATGTTATTCTTCAGTGATTTGCTACAAAAATGTAATCTGTGACCTGGTCATGAAAGTTGTTGCTTTAGTCTGTTTTAAAGTGGTGCAAGTATGAAAGAAAAAAAGAAAAAGTAAAGAAGGGCAGCTTTTAGCAGGCTAATAGTTGGTTAGAAGAACCAGTTGGGCTTTCAAGCTTGGCCTATGCATGTCCATTGTGGATACGGTAAAATACAAAGCAGGGGATCTGGATTTTCTTTCTGTTTCGTATTCCTCCCTTCGCTGTTAATGCAGCTGTGCTGTGAGTGCTTACTGCAGGGGTCCATGCTCTGCTCCTGTTCAAGGTCTGGTAGGGCAGACTGTTAAAGCAGTGGAAGGTAATATCACTCCCAAACTGTCCTGAGCCATTGCTGCTTTTTGCACTGCACTTGAGATGTATTCCAGAGTCTGGAAGGTTTGTCTCTTGGTGCTTACTCAAGACTTAAGTTTCTCTTTGTTGTTGCTGTTACCTTCCTTTCATTTCTTATTATGAGCACAATTTTCTTCCTCCTGCTGCATCTTACTTTCCTACTCCTTCAGTCTTTTTCCCCAAGCTAATTCATGACAGTCAGTTTTCAGTCAGGGTCTTGTTTGTAACATTATAGGTTACAGCTCACCCTTGGGCAAGAAAATAAATATGTTGTTCAAAACAACACAAAGTTGCTATTCATAGAGCACTACAGGTATGCATGTTGCTTTCCTGACAAATAAGACATGACAGGTTGGTGCCAAAAGCACTTGCATTCAAAGTAAGACACGGTGCAGAAGTATAATCGAGAAGTGGCAGTGTATAAAGAAGGCTGATGTTAGCAGAGGGTAGAGCAACGTGGGTGTTTGTTGGGACAGCATACGTGCCATATTAATTTCAATGTTATTTTTCTTGATGGTGAGGTAGAAGAATGGGACAGCCCTGATCAGCTTGCAGAACTGTTGGGGGATAGAAAGGAAAGTTACAGGGCATTTTTGATTCAGGAATAAGGGCAGGGTGAGGTGCTGCTCTATTTTCATATGGTCCCCAAATGCTTTTTCAATGATTTTTTTTGTGTTCCGTGTCAGTGGAACTTAAGCATCGAATTCCCACATGGAAACCTCAGAAAGTTCTTACAGGGCACTAAAAATACTAAGGTCCTAGTTTATTAACTAGAAAGTATATAAAAGTAAAAGGCCACCAATTTTACCACGTCGTTGCCTTTTTTCTCAAGAACTTTAAGGTGTTGGATAATCTCTTTGGTGTTGCTCAGAAGGTGGACACACACGGCTTCAGTCACCTGTTTACCGGGGTGGCAGGCAGTCCTGTAATAGCCCATACTACTATTTTTAGAGGGGATTTATCTCTTCAGCTTCTGCATCTTCAGCCTCTGACTCAAGCAGCACTGATCCACGTAAGTGGCAAACATTGATGGTGAGAGACGTTTTGCTTGGGCTTTGTTCTTTTGGCAGACGAAGAGTCAAGCTTTTAGCTGTATTGAGTATGTCTGAGCAGTAGTACGACAGCGTCTTCTCATTGGCACTTCTCATCATCTTGGCAACAATTGCATTGTCTTTCAAGAACTTCTACTCATTGAAATGGAGGTAGACTGGAAAATAAGAATTTGTCTGAAGCTCATTATGATGGATGATGTATTCCTCACTGTTAGAGTTTACCAAGGCAAATGAGAAAAAGAGGTGTGATAGAAGGAGGAACTAAACTGTTTAGTTACTGCTTTCAGTACATGTGGAAAGCATCATCCATAATGAATCAAAATTGCACGTGCAGCATGCTGTATTGCTCTTGGTCATTCCAGCAGTCTTCCCAAATCTCTTTTCCTCTCTTTTCCCCCAAAAGAGATGGCTTGTGTTCTTGTATGTGTAGTCAGCAGTCTGGCTGTTGGTTCATCGGTTCAGTCACAGAGTTTTCCATAGAAGAAGAGTAAGTGGGAAGTAAATGTTGAATTTTGGCACTCAGTCTGGGGTGAAAAATCAGTGTTTAGCTTTGAGCCAGTGTCTGCCCAAAGCTTGTCTATGTGTTTAGCTCAAGTACAATTGTTTGCCTTTAGAAGCAAATGGTATGAGGGATGCTGTCCCACCTGCTTTTAGTGAAGTTTGGTATGGTACGCTAGTTGAGGTACTCACTCTAACTATCTGTACCTGTAACAAGTACACTGAAAGTGTGATAAACTTGGAAAAACTTTAGTAATTCTTTTGAGAGTACAGTATTGGTTGCCTGATGAGGAGTGCCTACATTTAGATGCTAAGATATAGGTGCCCACATGTATATGAAGGGCCCAATTCAGGTGCTCACGTACAAGCACTTGGTGCTATATGAGATATTTTGATACTTGGCTTCACCATCACCACGTGTCAGTGCTGTTTAGATGCCACAGACAACCCAGGGTCTCCCAAGTGGTGTGAAGTATCTATAGGTAGGCACTGATTTGTGCATTAGGTGTCTAATCTTTCACTATAGCCACAGATTGAATTTTAGGCAGCAGAGAGATTATCCGTCTCATGTTTCTGGTGCTGTAGTAATGCGTGTGCTTGGGGCATGATTGCATCTCATAGATGCATTTGAGGCCATAATTTTGAACTTGCACATTATTATTGCCAGTGTATTTTAGCAAAGTGCTACTGCTTGATGTAATTTTGACATTCTACCCTGCTTTAAATTGCTGTACATCTGTTTTCAAATACAATACCATACATCTTTTTAGGGGGCAGTAGGTCTGTGTTTAGATATCAGTTCAGAATAGCCTAACATTGATTGGTGCCTTTGGACAGGTGGGCAAGGTCTGTTATTAGTGATTGACTGATTTGTGGAGTGTTTTTCTGTTCATCGCCTTTCTTGCTCAGTAAGGAAGAGAGAATTCACTGGGAAATTGTTGCAGGCCTTTTATTAAAGAAAAGCAGAAAAAAATCTTACTTGGTCACCTTTGAAGTTTCATTGAGAATAGTAATCAGTGAAGATGAGAAGTCATGGAAGGATAATGTAAAAATCTTTAATTTGCTATAAGTATCTGTGGAGGGAGATGTCTGCCTGTGAAGCCAGGGTGAGATGACAGCATAATTCTAAATAAAATTGAAGCGTTTAGTGTTAGTAAAATGTAGGTATTGATAATTATGAAGAATGGTGTCTCTCACTTAACCGAAAGACTTGGTTTAAGTTCTTAATGTGTATTTGTATTTTTAACACACTGATGTCCCTGTAGTATCTACTGATGATTCCACAGCCTCCAGTCTTCAAAGATGAGGAAGAGAAATTAATCCCATAAAGTGAAGTTGTAATTGAGTCTACAGGTTTGTTAAGGATTTTGAAAGAAACTCTGAATATCTACATAATATAGAACATAATATTTAAAATAGAAAAGCACAGATTTTTTTTTCCTTACTGCTCTTCCCCAACTTATTTGTGCATACGATACAGATAAGGCAGAGCTGAATTTGCAGGGTTTGTGTGAAGGATTGAAATATGTGTAACAAACTGCAAATGTAGCTTAAACAGTGATACAGATTTTTTTGAGATGCTAATAGTTATGATTCAGTGTATCATGTTGCTTAATGAAAGTGCACTTTTGGCGAGCCTTGTGAGTCCTTTTGTTCAAATAAAACATTGACAACCCTTGCAGAGAATAACAACGAATGAATAAATGTGCTTTAAGACACTTCACCGTGGAGTCAACTTGAGCTCTCCTTGCAAGGAGGGCCTCAGTGGCTGGGGTATTTCGGCAGAGAGAAGATGATACTTAACAAGAACCACTCCAGAACTCCCAGTCTGGCAGCCCACCAGGAGAGCTCCACGTCTAGGGCAGCTTTGCTCCCAGGGCAAGGTCTGTCTGCTTGCTGCATGGACATTAATCTTCGGCTGGTGATAGTATTAGGTCAGGGAAGTTAAAAAAAAAAAAAAGAAGCAGTGAAATGGGGGCAGCCACCGGCAGTGCTGGGACCAGAAGAGAGGTGCTGCCCATTCTGGTGTCCTGCCAGAAGGAAGCCAGGCCACCAATCCCACGCTGACTTCAGAGGAGAAACGGCAGCAGGGGAAGAACTTTCTGGGAAAAGTCAGAACTGAAGCATCTGGGTAAGAGGCAAACTGCTGTCTTTACTGTAATTTTGTGGAATATTTGACAAAATAAGGGACATTTTCACCTGCTTTTTGACCCATTTCTCACCACTAGTGAATATGAGCTGTGCTATGGGGTGGTCTTTTTTTATGCACATTTTCAGTTGAGGACAGAGGACTCTATTTCACAATTACCAGTTTTTCCTGTGCTGTAGGCAACAGACAATTCAGCATGGATGCCACATAGGGGAAAAAGTGTAAACATGCAGTAGGCAATTTTTGGTGTGTCGTTCTGCTGCAGATATGTGAAACAAGGGCAACGTATGCCCCCTAAAGAACACTCATGGAGTGACAAGCTCCTATGTATATGCATGAAGTATTCTGAGAAGGTGGTAGTAACCAAGAACTGATTATTGACCCCCTTGCATGACCTATTGTTGCATTTCCTTCACACTTTCAAACATTATACAATGTCTGTAGGTCGTGCTATTACATCTCAAAGAAGGCTGGGAAAAGTGAAGATACATCTGTGATGCTTTATATGGCTGCATCCCATTTAAACATCGTATTTGTTTCAGCCTAGATTATTGGAGACTCAGTAGTGGGTCACAATAACTTTGGCTGCTGTGGAAGGTGCAGATCCCTTGGAGTTCCTTGCTGGTGTTAGTATCTACAGCTTCCTAACAGGACAAACTGTAAACAACCAATACTTTTGTAGCTTGCCACTGTACCAGATTAGTGCAGAAGAGGTAGCAGAAACTCTAGCAAATTTCAGCATTCATCATAAACAGGACTATTTGGACTTGAGAATACATCTCAGCCCTACTCCTCCTCTCTGTTAATTTTCTCATCAGTCTTAGGAGACCAAAAAGCTCTAGAAAGGAAAGGTTTGCTACTAGCAGCTTGGAATAATGTTTTTGTTTTCTTCTAATATATTTCCAGCAAGTTCGTATCTAGTCATGTCTCAGCGCCTGAAATAATATTAAAATCACATAACTCCCACCTTCAACTTCCATATATCAAGCTCACAAAAGCCAGTTTTTCATTTACAAACAAGACATCTGTAAGACTCTTTCTGCTGTTCTCAGGAGGGAAACAGGTGACAGAACAAACTTCAAGAAGGAGATGAAAGCGGGTGCATCATCCAAGGAGATGAAAGCTGCAAAATGCCATCAGGATGAACATTTCTGGATTTTCCCCAAACACACAACTGACCCGCTATTTTCATTGCTTTGCAGGGCCATTTATCTCAGCAGACACAAGGACCCATCAAAGAAGTAACACAGATGCTCAATGGATGAGAATTTGCAGGTGCAGCTTTTAATCTGCTGCCTGAGGACTGAATCAGCAGCTGAGCAGACTGCTGGAACAAGAAGGGACTAAGGAACAGAAGGCAAAAGACATGGCCACCCCATGACATGAAGTCCAAGCTACTTCTGTACCTATTTTTTTTTGAGGCGGCTGCATCCATTGGACAATTCAAGGCACAGATCATGCCTGGGATGGCTGATACAGACCCTGAGTGGAATAGCATGTAGAGTCCAAGGAATTCTGCTTTTAGAGCGTGTCTTGTGGATAGTATTAGACGAAAAGCTATTTTATGCTCTCCCATCTTCCCTACCACCATCCTGCTGCTCTAATCTTTTTTGCCATGTGCTGTAATGTTAACCTAGGATTTCAGGACCTAGGATTTTAAAGGGTAGGGTAGGGCTCCAAAATTAACAGTAGCTACAGACATCCCATATATGTGAATTTTCAGCCACTCTGGGCTGAGGCAACTTGCATTGTAGGAAGACAGCTCCCTTTCCAGTTTGCAAATCATGAGCATTTCAGAAATAGGGAACATATAGTAGCTATATGGATGCCATTGTTTGCATCCCCAGGACAGTTTTGGAAGCCTGAGGACTATTGTATCACTGTTACATCCATGATATTAATAGTTGCCACCTGATTGAACCACAGTGGTAATCCCTGTAGTTTCAGCTTGCCAGTGTTAGTGATGAATCTCTGAAGCACACCACCTCTAACTCTTTAATGAAGGGTTACCCTTAAACTGGTTCTTTTTTAGGATTTGGCTGTACTCTGGTTTCCAGTAACTCAAACCTTGCATTTCCTTTTCCTGCACTGAACTCCGCCCTATCTTACAACTCATACCTGTTTGATTTGATTTTGTCGTTGTATTTGATTTGTATTTTTGTTTTATTTCAAAAATATGAAAATGTAGTGTATTAAATTCATGGTAATATTTAAAATACTTCCTAGACGGCAATGGTTTTCTATGTCAGACCATCTGTGGTAACTGAAAGTCAGCCCTGGTTGAGATGGAGGAGAAGAAGGTCTCATCGTTACAGGATTAGCATGCATGATACAGTGTCAAGAGCAGTTAGGCACTAGTAATTGGGCCTTGGGACATGAGGACATTAGAAATGTTGGACCTTTGGAGTACAAGGACGTTTTGGCTATTCGCAGGATTCTGTACCAGTTCTTATAATGAGAACCAGTCACAAAAAGCAGCTGGAGTTGTAGCCTTGCTGTGACTCAGTTTGCTGGAGTTACACAGGCATCACATGTATTAAAGTTACTGTTAGTGACTACTAATTCCTTGTATAGATACAGCTGTACTGTCACTTCTTACTATTCTTTAGTTGTTAGCAGCTTTAAGGATTAGAGGAGCTCATGGTGGTGCTAAATAGATTATATATTTATGTGAACTGATAAACAGAGATTCCTAAGTAATTTTGTTGTTTCTGTGGACTGAACTTGCCCTGTGTGAGCTGGGAGGTCAACCCAGAACAGCAGTTCCAAGCTATGTGTGATGTGTCAGTCCTGTGCATAAATCCAAAATTTGGATTGGTTTCGGCTTCTCTCTCCAGATGAACCAGCATGAGTGGGGTTGCAGACATCTTCTGACCTATTAGACACTTGCCTTAGCTGTTAAACATACCCCAGAAACATTTGGGGCACGTTCAGCTTTCTTTTTGTGAAAGGCCCTACAGTCCTGTTCTGAAAATGCCCACCAAATCAGGCACCACAAGTGGGGTAGGAGGGTGAACCACCAAATTTGAAAATCCTGATATCAACCCAGGGCTCCAAGCAACTGAACAGCATCAAGACTTAGCAGGGTTTGTGCATGGCCACCTGCAGAAACTTAACATACTGATAAAGTTAGGTGCTGAAGGGGAATTTTTTAGCATCTCCTTGGCACCTGAAAGCAAGACTTTAGTCGCTTAGGATGGATTAATCTCGCCTGTCTTCAAGTATCCACTGTGTAGATACCTGTCTCTGACTTTGTCACTGCAGCCTGGCTTTGCATTCCCTGCAAAGCAACAGGCACATTTAGGGCATGATTCATCTGACCTACTTTACACATTAACGTGAAACTCATGCTTATTATGAAACTTCGGTGTTTAAATCCTTGTGATTCTGAAAATGTACTGCCTGTTGGTGTCTTTTAAATTATTTGTGGATAATTATGCTGTTACAGTAATCAGAAGTGTTTAATTAGTAGGCTGTCAGTAACTTATTCATATTCTTCCTGCAGAGCAAAACCTTTCTTTGCGTTGAAGTAACTTGTTTTAATTTTGATTTTTTTCTACAGAAATTACTAAGCTGCTTGTTTGCTGGAAATTCTGACATGACTATGGGTGTTATCTTCTTTTGCTTCAGATAAACTTCGAAGAAGCATGCCTAACCTCACTCGGATGCCAAGTACCCCCACCATTAACAGTAACCCTGGCTTTGCTAGTTCTCCTGTCACTGTGAGGAACAGTCAGAGCTTCGACTCCAATTTGCATGGAGCCAGTAATGGGATTTCAAGAATGCAGTCGTCTAGTAAGTACCTGTGTTCTCTGGCTGTGCACAAGGAATCGACAGAGTGGTAAAATACATGTCCCAGTCACTGATCCTCTGCTTTATGAAAAATTAAAAGCATGCTGTGTTCCTTTTGCACTGGATTTTAATATAGCTCAGGATTTTCAAAGTTTCTCTTTTGGAAAGCAAATTCTGCCAATCTTGTTATGTGATACTGAGAGTTTCATCACTTCCTTTTTCTTTTTTCCTCTTGGCCCATTCATTTTGTACCAACTTTAAAACTGAAATTATAATAATAACTAGTATTAGTATTGTAGAATACCAGCAATGAAATTAATTCATATATGCTTACATTTTTAGTTTTGATACTAAGATTGAAAACTGCTTTTCTTGGTAATTTATACAATTCTGGTTTTATACAGTGCCGGTTTTACAGTACACTGTATAAATACTATCTTAAAATACATGACCTCTCTCCTACTGAATTTGAACTACTTTATTCTGAGCAAATGTGGTAAACATAATATAATGTACTTTTTGAGTAGGGGAATTAAAATGACTCTGTAATTAGTTCAATTTAGGTGACTTCTAGATGGGGGGGTGGAGGGAGTATTGATCTAGTGGATGTTGAATTATTAACGCAGAATGGGAACAAGATAGATCAAGATCCAAACCCATCTTTTCTGGCACAGTGGTTGAGGTGCTCTGAGAGGAAATGGAAAAAGTGGATTTCATTTGACACAGGCAGGAGACAGAACTGACCTTATGCCTCCCATGTCCTGTGAGGTTTTGGAGGGAGAAGCTGGTAAAACATTTTCCTGTGGGTGTTTTCTTTCAAATTTTAGCAAAGTTTACAAATGTCTTCAAAATTATTAAATTGCTTAAATTTTAATTTTAGTTAAATGAAATATTTTAAACTTTACACTTAAATATTAAAATTGTATATTTATTATGTATTTAAATTTTATTACTGTCATTTAATAATGTATTTATTTATATATTTAATAACTATTATAAGAGTTCCACAGCAACATACTGACAGTATTGTTTAATTGAATCACACATCTGTATTTTCTTCTGTGTCTTTAAATGGATTTAAAATGCCCTTTTTCAAAGACTTGAAAAACAGTTGGCCTGTGTGCTATATATTAGTTTGTGTGCTTCAGGCTTTTGACAGTTTGCTTTTGATATGTGGACTCTGAAGCAGATGCGTGTCTGATGTACACCAGAGGGCAGGATTGTGTAGAAAATCTATATATAAAGCTTCTGGAACCCATAGCATTGATTTTTAAATTATCATTTACATAACATCAGTCTTGGAATATGCTGTTATATTCAAGACCTTTTTATAGCCCTTCTATTGCTTTTATACATAAAGCTTAGACTACTGTGATGCTTTATAATGCTTCAATGCGATGTTCCTTTAACAAGATGTGGTTATTGCAAGCAGTCTTACAAAAATCTAAATGATCTAACAGAAATTAATTTGAAGCTTCAGCAATTTCTCCTGTTTAAGGCTCTGATTGCATAGGTGGAATTAGTTTGCTTGTAATGGGTAATGGAACCTCTTTGAGGGGAGAAAGAAGGGTGAATTGGGGTGGGATTTTTGTTCAGGATGAGAATGGAACAGGTTCAGCACAGTGTTACTGGATACGGTATTGGATCCAATGAGTTTTCCAGCAGTTTATATTTAGCAAGTAAATTCCATAATCACGTTTATCCCTCTTCAGATCTATCTAGAAGTGATCGTTACTGTTGCATCCTGACCTTGTTACTTTCTTTTCTCCCGCTCTTCGCAGTTCCGTCACCAGGACAGCTTCAGCACAGAGTTCACAGTGTGGGACATTTTCCAGTGTCTGTCAGACAGCCTCTCAAAGCTACTGCCTACGTAAGCCCAACCGTACAAGGTAGCAGTAGTAGTAGTAGCAGTATTCCAGTGTCCAACAACTCACAGTTATATTCTAACACTGGGATCCCCATGCCAAACAAGACTGCGACTCAAGGGATTGTAGGGCGCAGTGCTCTTCCAAGACCATCGCTGGCCATCAATGGGAGTGGCATACCCAGAAGTAAAATTGCACAGCCAGTTCGAAGGTAAGAGCTAAACAGGCCTCCTTCCCTATGTGGATGACTTTGGCTTAGTTTGTGGGGTTATTTCCTACTGAATATGAAGCTGGGCTATAAACCAGAAGAGTTTCTAGCTTCCAAAGCTGAGTCACTGAGTGGATGATTTATTTCCAGAAATAGTAATGGCCAATGCTTGCTGGAAGTTCCTAGTAAACTGATAATTGATAGAATGTAATCAGATATAAATAAGAATGGTTTGCCACCCATCAATAAGAAATCAAAACAAATGGAAACCTCATGTCATTAACATACGGGTCTTTCCTTCTTCCAGGCTTGTGCTAACTTCAGTGTCACAGGATGACCAAATCTTCAAGTACTCAAATAAAGAGAGAGAGTTGCATCCCAGTTGTTGTAAAAGGCAGTAGACTGTAAAAATGCAACTTGTGACTTTAGAGCATGGTGAAAAAGGAAATATCCTGAATAGTACTATCTTGAGTTGGACTAGCATCCTTTCACTTCCGACTGGGAGACAGTAGGCAAACAGAGAATCCTGAAGTATCACGTACTTACAATGACCTATAACTGTTAAGCAAATGCATTTTGCTTTTTCCAAGCAAATTTCGTCTGCAAATGGTTTTTTTTAGAGCAAGCAATAAAATAAGTTTGAGGAGAGAGACTGTGTTTTAATCACCTTACCACTGCTGAGAGTTAAACTCTTAGCTGTATGTTCTGCAATTAATAGGTCATGAAGTTTCTCAAAGAGAAATTTCTGTCAGCTTGTGTCAACTCTTCCAGCTATTTCTTCCCATCACAGGCATCCCTCCTTGTGTGAGGGCCCGCTGCGTGGCCACCTGGTTTTCTGCTGGATGAACTGTCACTGTTTTGCTCTCTCCATTTTTATGCTTTTCACTGGATACTGGCTAGATCCAGAATAAGTTCAATTGCTCCCATTCTCTCTTTGGTTGAGTTACTTGGGGATTACACCGATGTGACTGACAACAGACTTTGACCAACTGCGGTGAAACTTTGATAAAGAGCTGTCAGGTTTCTTCTTTGATGAAGACTGTACCATGGGATTTCTATTATAACCTCCTTTGCTCTCTGCTGGAACTCTCTCTGTTAGAGTTCTTTATAGTAGAGGGTTTTCTTTTTTTTCTTTTTCCTTTCCTCAACTTGATGTTCTTCTGCAGAGCTCTTAAATCTTTCATTGCAACATGTGAGAAAGACAAAGATTTTCTGGGTTGTGAAGACCAGTCCCTTGCTTTTTTTGTAACTTTCCGTACAACAGACAGTATTAAAGAAAAACAAAATTAAGAGGATTCAGTGGGAGGGTGAGACACACTACTCTCAACACTGTTTTTATTAGAAACTGATTCAAATCAGTAACAAAGCTGTTTATAGTCTAGAAAGTCTGGGCTTCTGTCTTCTCACCTTCAAGTGTACCTTATCAGCATCATACATTCCCACTGAGCCAGACCAATGATCCTTGAAGAGAGATGGTCTTTGTCCTGTGGGAATGACAAGTTTAGAGGACTGTAAAAGCACAGATGGATTTGAGATCAGCCTGCAGTTCAAGACCCATCTTTCATTTTATTTGTTCATGTGGAAAATAAGGGTGGTTTCAGTTCACGTGGAATTTTCCTGGAAAGGAAGAATTCAGCCATCAGCAGCAGATTTTCTGTTGATTTTTGTCACAAAGAATTGTATTTCTGTTTATCAGTTTAGGAATCTAGCTTCTGTTAGTATACTGAAAATAAAGTAGTTTTAGTTATAACTTGATTAAAAGTAGAAAAGATTTTTGGTTTTGGTTTTGGTTTTTAAATCAATTGGATATTCAGGGAGAAGTGCACAGTAAGAGCAAAGCTGTGTCTTCATGCCTATGGCCAGACTGTTAGGTAGCAGAGTTACTGTTACTTTAGATACTTAAAATAAGATGTTAGACACTTTATATAAGGCCTGCATTAGGGCACTTCAGTATTTACTACATGGGATCAAGCATGTGAGGGCGTGCTTTTGATAATTTGTAAAATAAAATTGTAATAGCCAAGATAACCAACTTGGCTAAGTATTAACTTCTTTTCTCCTTGCCATCAGAGATTCATGCATCCAAAAGCAAAGTAAATAAATTTTGACAATGCAGTCTGTCTCTACTTAGCCATACAAGTGAGGCATTGCATTTTTTTTGTTGCTGTTGAATGGATGCACGCCACCCCCAATCCTTTCCAACTCCACGCTCTGGGCTTCTTGCAGATCTACCTTCTCACCTACCATCCCCTATCTGCCAGTCCTCTTTCTGTCCGTACCCGGGAGCATGATGTGAGGGGCAGCAGGGCCAGCTTCCAGTAAGGCAAGGTGAGCTAGGAGCCAAGTGGGACAGCCAGGTTGCCCCACAGTATCCAGCCAGGAGCAGCATTGATGGTGACCAGGGTCAGCCAACAGTCCCAGGTCTCCAGACAAGTCCACAGATAAAGCCGGGAGGTCAATCAGCAGATCAGGGTCTGGATCATCCTAGGTACCAGACACAGTTTAAGACCAGTAACAATAACAGAGTCATGTCGGTGGTGGCCTTAATTTCATATTTGCATTCACATGGTCCCAGAAATACACCAGTGATGTTTGTCCTTTTTTTTTTTCATTTGTTTAATACAGTTTTCTTCAGCCTCCAAAGCCACTTTCATCACTCAGCACATTGCGGGATGGGAACTGGAGAGATGGCTGCTATTGATGAAGGATGCCCATCAACAGTGGAAAATAAATAATGCAGATTTCATTACCCAGCTGGCTGGGTAACAATGATTTGGAAAAGGAGGGTCATACAGTATTATTTCCCCCAGGATTTTAATATGTAACCATCCATAACGCAATGTCATTTCTTAAAAATGAACATCTTATCAAATACTAAATATTGCACTTAATCGGTTACCTGAAGAGCTGCGTTGTGATCAGACTAACAGTGGCTGTGTTGGCATTTGGAACTGAAGGAAGGATTACATATGTGCAAAGTGCCAGACTGTTTTCTTGGAAAGAACAAGAAAAGAACTAATGCTTTCCGGCAGCTTTGCCGTACTGAAATTCTGAGATAATTTATTCCGTGTAAAGGCATCATGCATTTTATTTTGAATTTGGGGGGACTTCTGTACGTGCTTGAATTTTTTTCTAGTGTTTCCGGTACATTTTATTTTGTATATCTAAGTTCATTTAAACTTGCCTGAACCTTGAACAACAGAGAGATAATTTAACTTTTCTGTGCCATAAATAATATTTTTGGGGTAATGTACTTTTTTAGCGCTAGGAACATATCTTACAAAATGGTACCATTGGCAATACAAAGCAGTATATTTATGTTGCAGAAGCACAAAAGAAAGAGGTAGCATTCACTGGAAATTGCCATCCAGCTGGGTCAGCATGGTTTTGTTGGTCTTTCACCATTTGTTCAATTGTTAATTTATTGTCACAGTGTTTTGTATTTAAAGTGGCAGCATAAGTCACGTTGCACTTACAAAGATACAGTGATCTCTAAAACTACAGTTGGTTTTCAGTACTTTATTACCAAGAATAAAATTGTAATGTTTTATTAACAGTTGCTTACGAAAAATGAGTTTTAATGCGAACAAATCTTTTTGATAGATCTTTTACAAAATCCAATTGCACTAATCAATGCTTTCTTATAATGGCATATGACTTAATATTTGATTACAACTGTGTATACTGCTGTTTTGGAATGTTTCAGAAATAAAGAATCTATTTCAGCAATAATGCTGTTCTTGAGTGTGCAATGTAAACATTGTCAGAATTTAGCAACTGCCATCTACTTAACTCGAACTTTTTATTACTGAGGATTTAGATTAAGGTGGATTTTTGCAAATAGTAACTAAGTTCATCTGAAAAAATCTTACAGATTTGTGTTATGAAGCCATAGTATGCATAGAAGACAGGTAAGTATTTTAAAATCAGTCTTACTGTTATGTTTTTTTTCTATTTAATGTTTGGATTCTGCAAGTGCAAATGTGGCTTGCAGTGGGAAACAGATTGTGTGCCACGTGACGCTTTCACTGTGGCTCTGAATTTGCTCTGAATTTTGTTCTGAATTTGCTCAAGGATCTGTTTCTCTTGAAAGGGCAACCTAAAACAAAAAAACACAAAGGAGAATCATTCAGTGGTGAGTGAAACCTTTATTACTGTGAGAAGTGACTGTATAGTAGTGCAGTCTTATCTCTGTGCAGCGTAATATTGTTTAACAGAGAAGCAATTAATTTTTACCACTTTAGTTCTTTTCATCCAGTTAACTTTTTTTTTTCCCCCAAAAAAAATCTAGAACCATTGAAGAAGATATCAAGAAACATTCCAGCAAGGAAATTACCT